CGTGATCGCCCTTTCCATTTGGCAAGTCGCTTTTTGAGACCCACTGCCTACCTAAAAAGCATGTCGTAAGAGTCGACTTATTAGGAGCTTCCTTCGAAGTCGGAGTGCATCTGCCTGAGAGGCAAGGAACCAGCATTCTGCATTCAAATGAGTCAAATCTGTAAAACGGATGCACACGCAACACACAGGTTCTGGTACAGGACTGCAGTCCAGAAGTGGATAAACAACCAGAACTTTCCGCCAGAGTTTACAGCTGGTGAACGTGAAGAAGAAGCAGAAGAATACCACAAATAAAAATATAACAGCAGACCAAATTCCTAGATCCACAATTTTAAAAGCATGTAAGGAAGACGTGTGATTGGTTGACTCTTTTTGTTACATACGTAATACACAGAAATGTTTCGTGTTGAGGAACTTTGAGACCTGAGATAGTTGGAGAAATAATTTTCCAGGTATGAATGTTTACAAGTCAGTTCTTTGACGGCTGGTGCCCTTAGAAATTAATATCTTTTCCGGTCTAATTTGCAAGGCATTGTTTAATTACTAATCACTTTCGATGTTTGGTTTAATTACTGATTATTATTTTTTTCAACTTTGACGTTATAGACGCTTCGTGATTTTTTGGGATCGGTTATTTTCGATGTTTAGTTTGTTGAGGGTTTCACATGTTTAGAAATCAGTTACTTTTGATTTTTAGATTTACGATCTTCCCGAGTAAAGGGAACAATTATGTTCAATGTTTAGTTTAGTTTATAATGCTTCTTTTCTTTAAGGAACAATTACTTTCGCGGTTAACAAAGTTTGTTCAGAAAGGTGGAGACAGGCATGCTCGGTGCAGAGTGGCAAGCATCGCTTCAGAGGTCCCAGAGAGTTGGCGTCCTTTGATTATTTTCTCCAGGTCGTGCTGGTGTGTTGGGAATCGAGCAGGCAGGTAGACTGACCAGTTCTGCACCACTTGGTGGTGAATTGATGTATGACAAGCTAGATATTGTGAGGGCCCTTTGGGAGCGAGTGAACAGTTCGAAGGTACAAACAGATCATTACTGTCTGAGGAGAACGGCGCTGCGGGGAGTTACCAGGGATCCTGGCCAACGCTCAACATTCAAGGGAAAGGCGAGACGGATATACAGTCAGACACTTACTTGTACCAACGGATTTGAAATTCTTTGTTTGCTGCTGAATATAGGGACGGAGCGCTTACGGGAGTGTCCCGAGTGCTATGAAGTCGATTTTTAATTCAGCATGCTTTCGCTGTTGAATGCAACGAGCTATTGATGCATCGTGTGAATTGTCTTTCAGTGATAGTAATAGAATACTTCAACTGGGCACGTTTAGGAATTTACAGTTTACTTTTGATATTTAGTTGAAGTTTTCGGTGCTTCGTGTGTTCAGGGGCCAGCCAGTTTTCATTAGAAAAATGCAGTATTTTGTGTGTTCGGGGGCCAGCCAGTTTTCATTAGAAAAATGCAGTATTTTGTGTGTGAAGAGGCCAGCCAGTTTTCATTGGGAAAATGCAGTATTTTGTGTGTGAAGGGGCCAGCCAGTTTTCATTAGAAAAATGCAGTATTTTGTGTGTGAAGGGGCCAGCCAGTTTTCATTAGAAAAATGCAGTATTTTGTGTGTGAAGAGGCCAGCCAGTTTTCATTAGAAAAATGCAGTATTTTGAGTGTGAAGGGGCCAGCAGTTTTCATTAGAAAAATGCAGTATTTTGTGTGTGAAGAGGCCAGCCAGTTTTCATTAGAAAAATGCAGTATTTTGTGTGTGAAGAGGCCAGCCAGTTTTCATTAGAAAAATGCAGTATTATGTGTGTGAAGAGGCCAAATGTTTTTCGAAGTTTAACGAAAGAAACATACTTTTATCGAACATTTTTTGTGAAAGGAACATACTGCACACCCACCCCTTCTTTTCCTACTTTTTTTTTCTAAGGATATTTGTAGCAGAAGGGGCACATTTTTGTCGCTTTAATTATATCCTACCCCCAGATGACGTCACAGGACAGTCCAACATTTTAGAGGGTGGTAAGACTGGGTTTCCCGGCTTTCTGATGTGATTTGATTCATTTGATTCAATTGATTCAAGAACCACATCACAGCATTCAGGGCATTCCCATAAGCGCTCTGTCCCCATCTTCAGCAGCCAGCGAAGAGTTCCGATACGAATGGTGCCAGTAGCATTCTGATTAAACGTCCGTCTTGCCTTTTCTCTGAGCCTCAAGCATCGGCCAGAACCCCTCCTCACTCCCCGCTGCATCAGTTTCACCAGACTGTGGTGATCCATCCGCTCCTCCGAACTGTACACGCTCTCCCACAAGGCACTGACCACGTCTGCCTTATCATGCAACAATATTCCACCAAGCTGTGCAGAGCCAGCCAGTCGTCTGTCCGCCTGTTCATTTCCCAACACACCGGCATTCACTGGTGAAAAAATCCAGACAATACTCCTCACCCGTGTCCTCCGCAGCGAGGCATGCCACTCTGCACGAAGTATGCCTGTCCTGATCTTCCTCAGCATGCTTTCTGTGTCAGTTACAATCACGATGTGTGTGTGTGTGTGTGTGTGTGTGTCGTGTTCTCTAGCCAGCGGAAAGCCTCAGTGACCGCCTTTACCTCCATTCTTTAGCTGGATGTTGTGGTATTATATGCTAGGCTCTCCTGTATCAAACGTCGGCTTTCTGATGCTTTTAACGACCCTAAAATATCTAGAACTGGCCCTAACCCCCACCCACCGATGCCCAAAGAAAGAGTGCAGCCTAGGTCCCACGACTGCATGCAGCCTATCTACAACCCCCTGAAATATTAGACTGTCCCGTGACCTGTGGATTTCCCCTGTTTGAGGTAGGATATTAATAAAGCACCCACATTTTTTATAAAAAATGTGTGAGTGGGGCACACTTGTGCCAGGCAGTTCAAGCGAATGAGCACACTGTACTGGACATTTATAGTGAAACAAGCACGCTTGTATTGGGAATGTTTGGTGAAAGCAACACCCTTCTGCTTCATTGTTCGGTTCTTAATTTATAACGTACCCCAAACACAAAATCCCCGTGAGAAATCCACAGCTGACCTGACAGTCCATTATTTCAAGGGGTGCAAGTGTGCTGTTGTGTGGTGCTTTTTTTAGTGTTCATCTAGTGTCTTCTAATCCTAACCATAACCCTAACCCTAAACTTGGCTGTAGAGAAATCGCGAGAAACTACAACCTGAGCACCCTAGAATTTTTTGGGAATGTCTCCCGTGACGTTGTCGTGACGTTAGGGGTAAGTTATAAATTAGGTACCCATTTTTCTACTTCAAAGAGCTCACTCGAGTGAGTGAGAGAGAGAGAGAGAGAGAGAGAGAGAGAGAGAGAGAGAGAGAGAGAGAGAGAGAGAGAGAGAGAGAGAGAGAGAGAATCTTGTCGCCCCTGGGGATTTATTCCCATCCCACATACCGCGGCGTCGCTTTCTTTTTATACCCCACAAAATTCACCATTTCGCCTAACATAAATGTCTTTTTTTGTGTGGTCGAGCTGCCCGTCGCCCGTCTAAGAGAATTAATTCTTAGAGATTTTGTTTGTTGTAATTGTGAGACATTTCTTGATTTCTAGGGCATATGACAACTGCTTCTAATGCAACCCTGTATTTACCCACTTTTGCTCCGTTAAAAAAAGGGGAAAAGGGGGGGGGGGGGTCTTTTAGCCACATGGCTAATGGTGTCGCCACGGACAGTGCCGATTAGGATTTTATATTTGCCCCCAACATAAAAGGAAAAAAAAAAAATTACAACCTTAGCCAAAATTCGAATCAGGGTCTCCCACATGAGAAGGAAGAAAATTCCAGGACCGACTTGTCTATACAGTGGAGAAAGAATGCAATCCCGTCTTACTTTTCTCTGCACCTTGAACCAATCCGATGTTTCGCCAGCTACTCTGACTGCTGCTGGTTTTTTTTTTTTTTTAGTAAAGAGATTCAGTTAGGTGTGTACCAAATATTTTGGGAACCCCATGCATCTGTGTAAATGCCAGTGTGTGTTGTGTGTGTGTTGTGTGTGTGTTGTGTGTGTGTGTGTGTGTGTGTGTGTGTTGGATACAAGGCATAGAAGATGAATTGGCATTATTTATAAATGTTATTTTATGTTGTTAATTTTTAAAAATTATTATTTTCGTTAAGCTAAATGGGATCAAGTAAATAATACAACACCGTATCTGTACTTGAAGATATTGATTCATCAAGAGTAGGCATATGGTCTATGCATTTAACGGGCAGAAGAAAATTTTGGCTGTCGCTGCCTTCCTGTCTGTACTTTACTGTCTGTCTATTGGTCTGTCTGCCTGCCGCTGCCTATAAGTCGTCTGTCTGTCTTTTCCCGTCTTTCTGTCTGTTTGTCAGTGCCTGTCTGTCGCCTGTCTCTGCTTATATGTCTTTATGCCTGTCTGCGTCTGCCACTGCCTGTCTGTCGTCTGTCTCTACTTTCCAGTCTGCCTGTCTGTGTCTGTTTGCCGCTGCCAGTCTGTCGCCAGTCTGTTTCTACTTTCCTATCTGCCTGTCTGTCACCAGCCTGTCTCTACTTTCCTGTCTTGTGTCTGCCACTGCCTGTTTGTCTGTGCTTCCCTGCCTGTCTGTCTGTGCTTACCTGCCTGCCTAAAATACTGATACACACACATTTATATAGCTAGATCTTATAAGACAATAATGTGATTTTTTATTTTTATTTTTGTATTCAGACTTAGGAAGACGTTATAGTCTACTAGAACCATTCACCGTCACTGCTTCAATTGCTCAACTGGCCTAACATATTTACCAACTCTCGGATTACCTGTGGTTGAACAGATCTCACAGTTCAGCCTACCGGGACTCAGAACCCTATAACAACGTGCAGCACAACCCATCTGTAAACACACCTCAAGGCTACCTCGATTTACGCTTCAAGTTGTCCCTAACCATGCCTGTGAAAGCCTGAAATCCCCAGGTAGAAACCAGCTCCGAACGCACCCAGCGTGTCCTGTGCTGGCGCACCGCACCCATGTGCCTGACGGCCAGCAATCAGACTATGGGATGCGGGAAAAGCCGACATCACTCACCCGGTGACTCCGAGACAGATTTGAAGAACAGCGGCAGCTACAACTACAACAAGAACAGCAGCAAGCACCACGGTGGCAGCAAGAATGCCAAAAAGAAAAACCTCTCCGGCGAGGACAAGAACCAGGCGGATAGAACCGGAGATTGTGAGACAGCTGGTAAGTTTGTTTGTTTGTGTTTCATTTGTCTTGATATGGCAACTGCCGCCATGTCGCAGCTGAATACGAAGTGGAGGAGCGAAATCAGCGTCGCAGTTAAGCTCACTATTTACAAATCACTGGTGTTGTCTATTTTCTTATACGAATATGAGAGGGACCCTCACTGTGAAAATGAAAAGGGGTATTCGGGCTTTCCAATGTGACACCTCCGCGACCCTAATGGGTCAAGGGTTATGTTATGTTGCATTTGTTTACTTCCGGGATTGCAGTCTGAAAGATTGACAGCCGGTGATCCATTCCACGGATTACAAAAAGCGAGAAGAGCTTTCATATCACTAGGAAATTTGTGGAGGTCAACAGAAAATTCTAATGTCATATCATTATTGCTATGTGGAGCAGTAACTTGAAGAGCGACTCAAACAATTCCTAATGAAATGCATCCATTAACTGTTGCCAGTGCTCAATAAACGGATCTGAATGGTGTAAAATGGTGTACTTATGTCGAGCTTTGGGATACGAATTAAACCAGTTCCCCTGGACCAAGAGCTGAAGAAAAGATGCTGGCGCTGGGTGGGACACATGTTGAGAAGACCCGAGAACAATATATCTAGAATGTCTTTGCACCGGAACCCACAAGGCCATAGACATGAAGGCGGAGGCTATCCTCTGAACTTCGGGCACTAAAGATGGCGGCCGCAAAATATTCTTTGGAGCCATAGTCACATGACTTAACTGGCGGTTTTCCGGCGACTACCGCCACCCCCGCGAGCCCCGCACGCCGCTCACACTGCGTGGATTGGGGCCAAACTCACGAGGAAAGCTTCAGGAGATGCATGAGCGGCATGCGGGACTCCTGGCGGTGGCGGTAGTCGCCAGAAAACCGCAAATTAAGTCGCCGGAAATGCGCAATTGACACGTGATTGTGGCTCGAAAGGATATTTTGCGGCTGGCATCTTTAGTGCCCGAAGTTCGGAGGATAACTAAGGCGGACCAACAAACGCGTTGAGAAGGAAGTTAGAAAGTGAAGTTTGAAAGATCGGAGGACATGGGGTGAACTGCATGCGAAATTAGGCCGACTTGGTCTATGTAGGTCTGTGTTCCTGCCCGGAAAGGGGGGGGGGGGGATACGTGCAGAAAAGGGAGGGAAATGTAAGTTAGTTTTGCCTAACCTGGATATCACACAGAGCGATAAACACCCGGTGACACAAAGTGCCACCATGCGGATGAGGATCACCCGGAGAGAGGTCCCGGAAACCCCGTACAACCGTTAGGTTATATTAGGGCCCCCGACTACAACCAGGGTGGGGCTTCAAAATAACGACGGGAAAAACAACTGTCGTCAATTCTTTTGTTCCGTAATATGTTACATGGGATTGGCGGTATGTTGTTGCATTCTATTATGTCATGTACAAGCCAGTGGATATCATGGATAGAATCCATGCCAGCACATTTGGCTTCTGTAGTCAACTTTTGCTCTAGGTTTTTTCTTGAATGCCTTCACTTCCTTAGTCTGTCCTTCCTATTTCAGTGCCCTATTTGGTGATTAGTAGTAGTAGATTTTTACCCCACGAGGACATCACACAAGTAATAAACACCCGATGACACAAAGTGCCACCATGTGGATGAGGATCACCGTGGAGAGGTCCTAGAAACCGCATTTAGTCATTAGACCGTATTTATGGTCGGGCTATATTGCGGCCCCTGGCAAGAGCCAGAGTAGGGCTTCAAATAACGAAAAATTGCATCTCACAAGGAGATGACTGGATTGTACAAATACAATTTGGTGATTCTGTGTTGGTCCTCTTTAAACTATAGCTAAAGCTTTGTTTATCATAAACACAATCTGTGAATAGAGAACGAAGAAATAAACACACGCTGTGCGAAAACGGATACTAAACGTAATAAATCATTAGTATTACAGAATCTAGTTATTCACAGCAAGCCATCACTTGCAATTATCCAATTTAGCCAATTTTAGAGGCACGTCCGTACAAGAACAAGTTCCGTTAAGCAAAGCAGGACATTGTGGACTCAATGCAACTCCCCGGCAAGGACAATGATCAAGGGGAAATTAATACAGCTAACGTCAATATGGACAGTCTCGCCAGAAATTGGGCGGGTTAAACAAAGTTCCCACGGCTGGCAGCCCTGGGGATGTGTATGTTCTGTGTAGTGAGCATTGTAGAGCCACAGTAATCGCGTTAGACGTAATAGGCGAAAGCGCTACCAAAGTGGCATTTATGTCCTGTTCTCCCGCATCTGTTTGCATGGGCCTTGCGAACGCGCTTTATAATTCCAGTATCCTGGGAGCGATTTTGCAGGAGACCGTTTTGCGTTGATTTCGACAGAACACCCCTCCGATCGTTTAGGAAGTAATGGCAAACTACTGAACGTAAAATGTCCTAGTTAAATCACAGACACACAATCACACATTCTAAGTTGGTTCTGCGACGTCGTGTAAATAAATCAATAATTGATATCACTGCACTCGAGACATTCCAACGCGTGGTCAATCTCCATCTTAAGAAACCAAAGAAAAGTCAGAATGCCAATAGTACTAGCTGCAACCTGATTAAAAGTCTGCCTAGGTTTCTCCCTCAGTGTTGAATATCTTCCTTCCAGAACCTCTGCTCACTTCTCCCCTACTACGACCCCCGCCCCCGTTGATTTAGTCCTTAATTGTAAGGATTCGTTTTCGGTTCTGTTGCACTATCCATTTGATTCTAAAGAGCCTCCGCCAAGTCCACTTTGTCACAAAATAGCTCATCGCACAGAGGAGCAGCAACAGCCTGTCTTTTAGCCTGCTCAGTAGACGTCTTATAGAAGACACGCAATTGGCTTTCTCTTTTGCCCAGGAGCCACAGTCATGCACTTACCAGGCGTTTGCCTTTTGGCCCAAAGGTTTTTTGCTCGAATCCCCATCTTGGGTAATTGTTACTTTGGCTCTCATGTCAAGCCAGCCTAAAATTGGTACCAGAAAGTATCCTGGGAAATCAAGTTGGCCGGTGGCGTGATTTTGATTATATCATCAGTCCAGTGCCAATTGGTCTGTACAGATGTTCGAATGCATATTAGTCTATACAAATGTTGGAGTGCCGATTGGTCTATACAAATGTTTGAATGCCGATTGGTCTATACAAATGTTCGAGTGCTGATTGGTCTATACAAATGTTTGAATGCCAATTGGTCTATACAAATGTTCGAATGCTGATGGTCTATACATATGTTCGAGTTCCGATTGGTCTATACATATGTTCGAGTGCCGATTGGTCTATACAAATGTTCGAGTGCCGATTGGTCTATACAAATGTTCGAGTGCCGATTGGTCCTTACAAATGTTTGAATGCCGATTGGTCTATACAAATGTTTGAATGCCGATTGGTCTATACAAATGTTTGAATGCCGATTGGTCTATACAAATGTTCGAATGCATATTAGTCTATACAAATGTTCGAGTGCCGATTGGTCTATACAAATGTTTGAATGCCGATTGGTCTATACAAATGTTCGAGTGCCGATTGGTCTATACAAATGTTCGAATGCCGATTGGTCTATACAAATGTTCCAATGCCGATTGGTCTATACAAATATACAAATGTTCGAATGCCGATTGGTCTATTCAAATGTTCGAGTGCTGACTGGTCTGTACAAATATTCCAGTGCTGATGGTCTATACAAATGCGAAGCTCCCTGTGCCATCTGCACCAGTGGCACGAGAAGAGTCTTTTAATCATGTTTTTTCTTCTCCCCTCTCACTAGTTTTCTGTGGGGTAATATCAATGTCCTCCCCCCCCCCTCCCATGTCACTTAAACTTTGCGAGCGCGCTTTCTTAACAGGAAGTACCCAGTTCGATTCCAGGTGCAGCCGATTTCACACTTAACCGCTTTGCGTTAATTGTAACGTCGACCACTGAGTAGGCAGTGGCAAATTACTGAACGTTAAAATGCCGAGTAAAATCACAAACAATCCCCGACACCAAAAAAAAAAAAATTCAAAGGTTGGTTCTGCAGCGTCTTGAAAAGGAAACGCAATTAACTTTCATAGCTAGTTGGCGTGACCAACGAGGAGAAAGCAGAAGGTATGGCCAATGTTCAGGGATCACATGAAAGGCCAGACAGACATATCAGCATCGGTGACAGGGTCGCCAATTAGCTCGCCGATAGACGACTTCGTCGACGGTCGGGGCAGTCTTAGGGTCTGCCTCCTTTGATCACATCAGTACTGTAAGAATCCTTTTCAGGGCGTACAATAAATTGAAAAAAATTCGGCTCCTTTCGGATTTGAACCCACGGCCTTCAAATCCCCAGGCAAGCGGTCATTTAGTCAATACCTGTTTATTTGTTCATCATATCAGAATAAAAAAGATATTCTTTTCTTTCTCATAATCCACCCATCCATGATTTCCCCACATCAGAAGAAGGTAATCTACATTTTTTAAATCACAGCACAAGAAAGGGACAGCTGAATTACATCGTCACAACAGAATAGTTTAAGACAGTGACTTCCAACCTTCGGCGGCGACTTCTTAATACAGTTCTCATGTTGTGGCTACCCCCAGCCATGCAGTTATTTTTGTTGTTATATTATAGCTTCAGTGAATGTGTGTTTTCCGATGGTCTTAGGCGACTCCTGTGAAAGGGTCCTTCGACACACACAAGGGTCGCGATCCACAGGTTGAGAACCGCTGGTTTAAGGAGGAAAGAGGCAGGGGGAGACCAACAGAAAAGATGCTGGACAGCTGTGTATTATGGCGCGGAAGCAAATCTGGGTCAGAAATGATTCAGAATCCATGGGATAGGGTTGTGAACGGGTTTGAATACCGACGCCACACGGCATGGACTTTGTATGTTAGTTGTACCCCACCAGGACATCACACAAAGCAGTAAAGACCTGGTGACACAAAGTGCTACGATGCTGAAGAGGATCACCCATGGAGAGATCCCAGAAACCCTGTTCAGCCATTAGGCCATATTTATGGCCCGGCTATATTTAGGATCCCCGGCAAAAGCCAGAGTAGGGCTTCAAATAACGAAAAATGGTATCCCACATGGGGACGGCATGGTTAAACATCATGGACTATAGTGCGAATCTCATGCATGTATCATGGAGCGGAGGAAAATCTGAGTCAGAAATGATTCAGACTCCATGAGACAGAGGGTTGTGGATGGGTTTGAATATCGACGCCATACGGTATGACTATGAGTCGAATCTTATACATGTTCTACTGCTAGAGAACAGGGTTGTATCTGACTCGTAAGAGACTTGAGGTTACCGCAGGCTGATATTTTTCCCGACGTCCAGATTAATTAATTAGTTTTTCCTCTTGAACCTAGGGCAGCGCATAGGGCAGAGGTCATGGCTGTCCAAGTCTGGTGGTTCGTTGCCACCTGGTTTAAGTCTTGAATGTTTGTTAGGTTCCATGCAGGGTCTCTCATGGTCGTCACCGTTTTCTTGACCCTTCCGGTGTCCATATAAGGGCTTGATGAGGAAGGCTGAAAGCAACAGCATCCTCAAGCGTAACATAAACGCCGCAACAGAAACTTGACGATAACTGGAAAACGAATTCCAAGCACAAAAACACAGCCATCGATATAACCACTGCTCAATCTAGGAGCCGGTTGAAAAAAGCGCGAAATTTTTTTTTTTTTTTACCTACACCAAAACCAAGTCTTGTCTTATCCATTCTGAGTGCATTGCCGATGTAGTTCCAGCGGCACTTTCTGATAAAATTGGATACATTATCTTGCTTGGTCTCTAGTCTTATTTGCATATTGGATCTGAAATCTGTCTAGTGGAGATTTAGTATTCCTGTAAGACATTTGCTCTCAAAATTATCTATTTTTGTTAGAGTTATCGTTGCTTTCCAACTCTTGATCCACAAGTTAGCACTGGAATCACACAAGAGACGTCCAGATTGGTATGTTAGAATGGTCAGATCTTCAGGTAGCTGTTCTAGGGAGAAAAACGGAATGAAAAATGTTTCATTACTTCATTTGTTTCTCCTCCATTTAGAGAGATCTCCGTCCTTCCGGAAAATTTCTAACGGCAAGACAAGGATAAAAGACAGAGATGAGGAAATCGGGTTCCAGGCCAGCTCTTCCCTGGGCATTGAAATCGCAGCTGCTTCCTCGGCGTCAACTGAGGACGGCCCTGACAGATCTAATGGTGCTACCAAACAACAGAACAGAAACTATTTGTTGGAAGTCCCTAATGAAATCTCTAAAACAGTAAGTTTTAAGTATTTTACAGAGTTTTTGTTGCTAGTTAGTTGACGGGCACTTTCTTGGGAGCATTTCATGAACGAGCCTGGAGAAGATAGAGAATGAGTTCGTTCTGGAAACTGCACAGGCAGATGAGCTGAAAGGAGCAGGCCAACTCAGAGGGTAGGATAAACTGAAAATGGCCAGGTTCTGGTAACTAACAGTGAGAAGGGAGAGGCTTTCATGAAAAGTTTCGTAGAGCAGACAGGTAAGACTGACAGGACCGTCCTACAGGCAGTTATTAGTGATCTTACTAAAACAATCAAGAATAAGACATATAAGACCATTGTACAGGTAACAGATTTAAATATATTTTGAAGCAAACAAAAGATAGTGCACCTGGACCAGGTGGAGTTAGATTAGTCATAAAAAAAGTTCCCTGTGTGGTTTCCAGGGCCCTTATTGTGGGTGACACAAGTAGAAACCTGCTGCCGCCTCAACAAGCATGTCATAGGTGTCGACTAATTGGGGGCTTCCTTAGAAGTTGGGTTACATCTGCCCGAGTTGCAAGGAACAACCAACTGCACACACATAAGCCGGTAAAACGGATGTACACGCAAAACTCAGACCCTGGCATCAAGCCAGAGTCCAAAGGGACGAACAGCCAGGACCTTCCACCTTAGCTTACAGCTGGTGAAATGATATAGAAGATATGAACAATGTAGGCGATGAAGAACTAGAGGAAATGGTGTTGTGTTTCAACTTCAGCATTGAAACAACATCGATTCCAATGGAGTGGCTGCATAAGTTACGTCCTACCGCTCTGGAAGCCAAATAAAGAGCATACTAAATTGAATGTTTATAGAATTCTTACCTTGCAGAATAAATTTGGTAAGATCTTGAAAAAATATTGGCAGACAAACTGCAGGATTACCTTGAAAAAAAAATAAGACTCTTACCGAGAGGGTTAGAAAGTTACCGACCAAGAAAGGAAACATGGAAAAAGGCCATAATCCTAGCTTAGGATGTATTTAAGGGGTTTCACTATAAATATGAAACAGTGGTGGCACTGTCTTAGTCTACAGGCAGGGGGGAGGAATAGAATAGAAATATCTAGAGAACTGAAGTTGGTGGTAGATAAGTGGTGTGAGGCAACAGTCTCGGTCATCAATCCAGATAAGGCATCAATATTGTGCTGTTCTTTTTATAATAGAATTGTTAGAGATGTGATGCCGGACATCACAATAAACAGCAGTAATATAAAAAAGAGATAATTACCTAAAATATCTAGAAATAACTTTTGACAAAAAGCACGTGAAAGTGATATTTAAAGAAAAGGAACGAATTCTAAGTTGTGAAGATGATGGTATCAGCGGACATGGGGCAGAAAATGCTCTTTACACTCTACCAGCAACTGATTATTTCAGTGATAAGAGTATGGTTTGGGACTGCTAACCTTATCTCAAATCCAAACGAAGAAGCTCGAACGCATGCAGAATGAAGTAATGCGAGTCATTTTGGGATGTACCTGAGACCATAGCAGACAAGAGAGTCTGGAAGGTATTCAACATTGAGGGAGAAACATCGAAGGGCGAACATGCATCTACACACTTTCTCAGTCTGACCTAGGTCAGAGGGGTGTCACGTTGCACTGCTTTTTTCAAAAAGTCTCTCTTGTGACCTAGGCTAAGACTGTGGATAGGGGGTTTTGGGTTAGGACCAGTTTTAGATATTCTGAGGTCTTTGAAAGATGTGTCTTTTTTTAAACTGGGTATGTGTTCATATGTGCATGTGTGTGTGTGTGTGTGCACGCTCGCATGTGCACATGCCTCTTTCATTTGTCTGCCTGGTACTAAAAGAGTTAAGTAATCTCATAACTTAGTCATACCTTAGACATGAAAAATAAGTAGCTGAGTGCAAAATAATGGGAAAGGCAGTGGGGTGGAAGGAGGAAAGGAAAGGGGGGGGGGAAGGGGGGCGTGAAAGAGAAGGGTAGGCTAAGAACAGAATTTATCCAACAAATGTGTAGAGATAACTCAAACCCTGTTTGAACATTCTGAGAAGAGTCTGGATGAATCTTTGGAACCATCAAAGATGCAAACAGCAGAAGGTGGTGCATCAAACCCACCCACGCCGAACTACAGGCTGTTTCCTAACCGTTTTTTGGTGCCCCATTATAACTGTACTGTGAGATGTTAATCCTACGGAATGCAAATCTGGAATAGTAAAACTTGAGAGAGAGAGAGAGAGAGTGAGAGAGAGAGAGAGAGAGAGAGAGAGAGAGAGAGAGAGAAAGAGAGAGAGAGAGAGAAGCAACTACAACATTTAAGTTAAAGAAAGAGGGGAGAGAGAGAGAGAGAGAGAGATGGAGAGAGAAGCAACTACAAAATTTAAAGAAAGAGGGGAGAGAGAGAGAAGCAAATACAAAATTTAAAGAAAGGGGGGGGGGAGAGAGAGAGAGAAGCAACTACAACATTTAAAGAAAGAGGGGAGAGAGAGAGGCAACTACACAATTTAAAGAAAGAGAGAAAGGAGAGAGAGGGAGAGAGAAGCAACTACACAATTTAAAGAAAGAGAGAATGGAGAGAGAGGGAGAGAGAGGCAACTACACAATTCATAATCTGTAAAGCTGACCACTAATTACTTGCATCTTAAATACTAACAGACTCTGATGGTTGGGGCTGGTAGAGAGAACTGCTGAAGATGATCAATATACAGAAATTACAAACACTTGGTCACCAATTGTAAAGCGAAAACCAAAGATCAAAAACAGAGATGAACAGAGGCGGGTGATATCTACAGCAGTGAATCTCGAAGGGTCTTGAATGCTGAAAAAGATGAAGAAGAAGAAACCGTGAACAGATGAAAAAGAAGATAAAGATGATGATGATAATTATAGGAAGGTTATGATAAAGAGAGGAAGTTGAAAATGATGAAAAGGATGAAGAAGAAGGAGATAAAAAAGAAGCAGCACCAGTAGCAGCAGCCGCTGTTGTTGTTGTTGTCATTGTCATTATTAGTTTTGTTGTTGTTGTAGCTGTTGTAGTAGTTGTATTAGTAGTAGCAGCAGCAGCTGTAGCAGTAGTAGTATATGTAGTTGTAGCAGTAGTAATAGTAGGATAGATAAATAGTACTGATATGCACGGCAGCCAACCAGCGTATGAAAGAAACTGGAATTGTCACGGCCAGATTATGGGCTAAATTATGATGATAATATTTAAATCATGTTTGCTTTGGTAATTAGTCTTTATTTGTTCCACTCATTGGTGTGTGCTGGGGTAATTTGTCTTTATTTGTTCCAGTCTTATCTGGTGTGTGCTGGAGTAATTTGTCTTTATTTGTTGCAGACTTGTCTGGTGTGTGCTGGTTTGTTTTTATTTGTTCCAGTCTCATCTGGTGTGTGCTGGGTTAATTTGTCTTTATTTGTTTCACTCATCTGCTGTGTGCTGGGTTAAGTTGTCTTTATTTGTTCCACTCATCTGCTGTGTGCTGGGTTAATTTGTCTTTATTTGTTCCACTCATCTGGTGTATGCTGGGTTAATTTGTCTTTATTTGTTCCACTCATCTGGTGTATGCTGGGTTAATTTGTCTTTATTTGTTCCACTCATCTGCTGTGTGCTAGGTTAATTTGTCTTTATTTGTTCCACTCATCTGGTGTATGCTGGGTTAATTTGTCTTTATTTGTTCCACTCATCTGGTGTATGCTGGGTTAATTTGTCTTTATTTGTTCCACTCATCTGGTGTATGCTGGGTTAATTTGTCTTTATTTGTTCCACTCATCTGCTGTGTGCTAGGTTAATTTGTCTTTATTTGTTCCACTCATCCGCTGTGTGCTGGATTAATTTGTCTTTATTTGTTCCACTCATCTGCTGTGTGCTGGGTTAATGTGTCTTTATTTGTTCCACTCATCTGTTGTGTGCTGGGTTAATTTGTCTTTATTTGTTCCAGACTCATCTGGTGAGTGCTGGAGTAATTTGTCTTTATTTGTTCCAGACTCATCTGGTGTTTGCTGGAGTAATTTGTCTTTATTTGTTGCAGACTCATCAAAGAACTGCATGCAAAGATTTCAAGACTATAACAACATCCAAAGGTGTTCAGTAAGTGAATACTATTGTATAAATTATAAACAATATTCTTTTGCATTATTTCACTTCATTAAAGCATTTCAAGACATTCTTTTTAGATTGTATTTAGACTGTTTAAAAATATTTTTTATTTAACTCATAACGGACACAAGAAGGGAATTTATGAGTTAAAAATAAAAAAAAGATTATGTTCAACCCCTCTGGATTATTGTCACATATCACTCCTGTCACGTGCCTGATTTAAGGATTTCTCCTTCAGAACTAACAGCACTCAGAAATAATTATGTTGAGTCGTTTGGCTCGTATTGGTCTAAGGGATGCCCCATGGCCAATATACGCTCAACTTATTTCTGGAGTAGGGCACTCAAGTTTTGGCACTACAAAATATATCTGTATATGAATACAATATACCTAGGCACACTTGGCTGGACACCCCCACTACTATAAAAAGAAAGCCCCCAGGTTATGATAGTTTACTATCATAACCATGTTAACACATATAATATTTAAGGTTCATACACACAACAATGCTAAACACGTAGAACGGTGATATAGAGACACCGGAGTCAGCCATGAAAATGAATACATGTAATCAATACAACATATACATAAAATAGTGAAGTGGACACCAGATCTCAGTGGATGGATCCCAGAATTCAATGACCAGACTCAACAGAAATCTAAACAGCCAGAAAGTCCTGGAGGTAACACTTTCTCATCCTTGGAATCCATTGGAGCTATGGGGAATATAGCATGACATAGAATCAAACTGGCACTTATCCTAGTTCCAGTGTTGATGCTTCCCTCAGCTCCTGGTGATTCGACTGTCTTTGACTCTGGTACTTCTATTCAAGTGGATCAGGTAGTAGAGGAGTACTTCACCACAGAGGACACAGCAACTATATAGGTACTCAGCAAGTCTCTCCCACCGGTCAGGTCACAATACTGTCTCTGAGTTACACCAAGCTCCTGAAGACTAGTCTACTCGAGTATGGATATACTCTCTACAAATGTTCACCTGCTCTGGAGTTCACTCATATGCTCTGGCACTGTTAGGATGTTTGGGGTATATGGCACCCCATGATGATGATGCCAGGTACCTTCACTGGTGTTAGCTGGTGGGTAGTTGGTTGATAGTTGGTTGGTAGTTGGTTGGACTGTGATTATTCTGCCAGCTCTTCACAAAGGTTTCATCCTGTCAGGAAAGAACTCAGAATTAGTCATCACCAAGAGGGTATCATCTTAACAGGAAAGACTCAGAATAAGCATCAGTCACCATCCCACATCAGCCTACTCCACCTCTGCTCCTCTGTTTCATTCCTCAGAGTGTACTCTCAAGACCAGGAGACAATGTCTTTTATCATTTATCTGTCTGTTTAGTGCAAGAGATGGAAAGTCAGATATATATAGTGGAGACAGATAGACACTATCACACGTATCTCAATTTCTCTCCTTCCTCCCATCTGCACACAGACACCAATGTTTAGAGTCAGTACCCATATCCCCTGCGACTCTCAGGCCATTCCCACACATCCATTGATCTGTATCAAACACACTCAACGCAACGCTCTAGTTGCCCAAGTACTGACCTAAATTCTCCGTCCCCATTCGTATGCACAAATTTCTGTTGTTAGTTTAAATGGTACACACTTGTAGGGTCATTATCTTTACCAATATGTGTGGGTTATTTAGGGCATAGGCCATTTAGTCTGTACAGAAGAAGGTCTAAGTTCGAATCCGCATCTCTAGAGATCAAGAACGGTCGAACTATGTGCAATCACATAGCCGAGGCCGGTATATTTACAGCACCGACCTTTTTAACCAGACATCATTTAAGGTACTCGTAAACTATAATTAACTTACCCAAGCATAGGAAAAGTCCTAGACACTACAGGCCGCCTTCTTAACGTGAAATTTACTGAGGCGTCTATGAGTACATCTGAGCTCCAGGAAAGCTGGCAGAAACAATGCCCGCACAAATTCAAGTGAGGCGTCGGTAAGAAGAAGTTCCTTGTATACATGAGCAAGGAGTAAACCGGTTTCCAGGAGTATTCAAATAACTCCAGCAATATTTATCATATAGTTGCAAATTTGAAAATGACGCTAAGTCAAAGCAACTAGAAGATGTAGACATTATAACTTTATCCGATAAAGGCATATATCGATATAAGGGACTATATACCTTTCCGGACGAGTCCAAGTTTGAAAGTTTTGCCGAGCACAGGTAATACAGGTCCCGACTCTTTTACGGTAATGTGTAATGGCTTGTCATTCCTTGACAATTATATAATTGGGGTATACAGAGCTTGTCTTTTCAGATACATGATATTTATGTAAAAAGAAAAAAATATGCAAATACATGAATGTGCTCACACATGTATGGGCTCTCACACACACACACACACACATGCACACACGCACACACACATATATACACACACACATGCACGAGAGAGAGAGAAGAAAACTGGAGTGAGGTTAAAAAGATGGAGAGGGCATGCAGTAAAAAAAAAAGATTTAAGGACCTGGAGTGAGTTGCTTGAGAAAGTATACTCAATTAGAGAATAATGGGCAGAGGAGAGAGGAAAACTGCAGTATAATACAGATTAGAAGTTTATCAATGGGTAATTTGTTAATCAAGATAAAATTGTAATTTATTTAAATACACATTATCTCTATGTGGGTTCCAGGGTCCCATTGTGGGGGAGGGAAAATAAACCCACTGTCTCTCCAACAAGCATGTCATAATAGTCGACTAATTGAGGGCTTCCTTCGAAGTCAAAGTGCATCTGCCTGAGAAGTAAAGAACCAGCAGTCTGCATATGCATGTGCCAGATCTGTTAAACGGTTATGCATGCAACACCGCAACACTCAGCTCCTGGAACAAGACTAATGTCCAGTGGTGGATAAACAACCAGAACTTTCTGCAGGAGTTTACAGCTGGTGAATATGAAAAAGAAGAAGAAATATGCAGTAGGGGTTGTCAGAGGTAATTTGTTACACATACAAACATGTAACAATTTTCTGAATTTAAAATTCAGTAATAGTTTCAGCTTTGTGAATAGGTTTGTCAGTTGGTAGTTTGGTGTGTGAGGGTAGATTGTAATTTATTTAAATCATAGAAGAAGTTTGCCACTTAATAATTTGTTGTAAGTGGGGGGAAAAAGAATTATTTAAAATACTTCAGCCCTTTTTGTTTGTCAGCTGTTGTTATAACGTTTCCCCTCTTATACAATTGTCAGAGTAAACTTTTTGATATGTCAGAGTTGAAGTTTCAATTTAGAGCAGGTCATTTGAAATAAGATTGGAATAAGATAATGAAGGAATAGGATAGATGGTCTATGTGCCTGAGTATTTAAGACTGGGCTTGTGCAGTTGTCAAAAACGGCAGGATAGGTTTTTTTTTATTTGTCCTTAACAGGAATCTCTATCCTTGCCTAGGATCAAACTCAGGTCTCCTGCATAAGAGCTGAGCACTTTTAACCACTTGGCCAGCACTCCTCAGATGATAAAGTGATCATCATCATAAGTTTCCACTTCTGCCGTTAAACGCCATAGGCAGGAACAGCCGGTGGTCCATTGCTTGATGGGCAGCAATGGATATTCTCATTCAGTGTCTATGTAGAAGCTCTTTAATGTCATCGATCCATGTTTTGCTAGGGCGACATCAGATCTTCTCACACGCAGAGCCTGTGTTTGTTGTAGTAGTTCTAGCTGCATTCTAACGAAATGACCAAACCATTTGACCTTCTATTTCTCAGTGAATTTGGCGCATACTGTGGTTCCAACAGTCTGTCTGACTGTATCATTTCTCACTTTGTCTCTGATGGTTGTCAGTTTTCCAAAGGGATATCAATTCGCAAGTGTTAATTTTATGTAAGATAGCCATTGAAAACTAAGTTAACTAGAGTAACTCAAAACTTTACCTGGTGCTCTTCTGTCATTTACAGTATCACAACTAGCCAACTAGAGTTCTTCAAGATGTTGGATGAAAAGATTGAAAAGGTAATTAATTATCTTTGTGCATTTGGGGAAAAGATTGAAATTATACACTTTTTCTTTTTGTTACTGGATTTGTAGTTTTGTATGTTTATTTGTTCCTGGGCTTTAAATTTTCTTTATTTAAGGGTTTGTAATTTTCATTGTTACTGGGTTTGTAATGATCTTTGTTGCTGCGTTTGTAGTTATCATTTTTGCTGTGTTTGGGGTTTTTAATTATCTTTGTTGCTGGGTTTGTAATTATCTTTGTTACTGTGTTTGTAATTATCTTTGTTGCTGGTTTTGAAACTATCTTTGTTACTGGGTTTGTAATAATCTTTGTTGCTGTGTTTGGGGTTCGTAATTATCTTTGCTGCTGTGTATGTAATTATCTTTTTTTTTTTGCTGGGTTTGTAATTGCCTTTGTTGCTGGGTTTGGGGTCATAATAATCCTTGTTGCTGTGTTTGGGGCTCGTAATTATCTTTGTTGCTGAGTTTGGGGTTCGTAATTATCTTTGTTGCTGGGTATGTAATTATATTTTTTGCTGGGTTTGTTAATTGTCTTTGTTGCTGGGTTTATAATTATCTTTGTTACTGGGTTTGTAATTATCTTTGTTGCTGGATTTGTAATTATCTTTATTGCTGGATTTGTAATTATCTTTGTCACAGGGTTTTTAATTATTTTTGTTACTGGGTTGAAAGATTGAATGGGTAGTTATGTTTTTTTGGTAGTAAGACTGAAATGGTAGTTATTTATCTAATGGGGTGAATAATTTGAAAAGGTAGTTATATTTATTTAAGGGGAAAGATTGAATTGTAATTATTTATTTGGTGGAAACATTGAAATTCTAAATTATCTTTGTTTCTGGGTGGAAAATGGAAGCATAGATAGAACACAGATATAATAAAGCAAATTGAATCATGGGCTTTAGTCTTGTTCCAGAACCTGAGTTTTGCATGCACATCCGTTTTACAGATTTGGCTTATTTGAATGCAGACTGCTGGTTCCTCACCGCTCAGGTAGATGCACTCTGACATCTAGTACGGGACGGAACCAGTACGAAAATAATTCAAGAGGCAATAAAGTAGATGATTTGTACATGTGTCATGACTGTCACCAGATAGTGAACCACAGAGAGCTCTGCCACTTAGACACAGTGGAAGCAGAGCTGGAAGTCGATCAAGCATGCAGTGGAAAGATAGAACATCTGAGGCTGCGAATATCAGCACATACCGCGGCTTGTAACCAATGCCTCTTCAAAACCTGTCCCTGAAAGGCTGAAAAGGACTAGAGAAGAAGAAGAAGAAAAAAGAAGAAGAATCGGATGGAAAGAGTGAAAGGGTGACTGTTTTTTTTTTTTTTGGGTGGAAAGGCCGATATGGTAATTGTTTATTCATGGGGATGGGTTGGGGGCAGAGATGGGAGCTATGATAGGCAGGTGGTACTGACTCATCTGTAAACAAAGGGAGCGAACACCATATGTCAGACTGCACCTAAGACATGAGTAAGGTCTTATTTATCAGTAAAGGAAAATTTTTACATTTCTTACTTTTAGTAAATGAATGCTTTTAATTTTAGTAAATGAACACCCATACTTTTAGTAAAATAACTATTACTTTTAAAAACTGTTAACTCTTACTTTTAGTAAATGAACCCTAATACTTTTAGTAAATGAACCCTAATACTTTTAGTAAATGAACACTCTTACTTTTAGTAAATGAACACTCTTACTTTAAACAAATTTTAGTAGTTGAATGCTCTTTTTCTCCCTCTGGGTCAACACCTGGAAGTTTGATCCCCCTATGTGACTCAGTTGCATCTCAGTTAACTTCCAGTGAATGAACACTAGAACTTTACTTTCAGTAAATTTACTTTCTTATTTTACTCTCACTGATTAAACAGTATCTTTTCTTCCTCAGGGTTATGATTACCAAACGTCAAATGAAGCTTCTGAAGTTTCCTCAATTGACGAACCATTCAAGCAATGATCACAGTGAGACTGAACTCTTCAAAGAAGAAGTCACCATGCATATACATTTATACATATATATTTATAAATAATGGACATTAATTCTGATATTCACTGACATGAAAGATTGTATAGTGTTTAAGAGGCAAAATTATGTTACAATAATTATTTGTTATGGAGAATCTGCAATGGATGATGATAAATCTTTTTTCTGTGATAAATTGTAATCTCATCCAACTTTTCAGATGCCCTATTTGCAGCTGTTTTGGTACTGCACTCCAACTGTTGCTTTAGGTGGTTCTGGGAACGACCTCTTTCATGAAATTGGGTATTAGTCTTGGTATTAATGCTTACTTGCCAAGACAATGATGACGGTTTAATCCCCAGAAGTGGCAGAGTATTTCTTCATTGTCTGGATTCTGGAATGTTTCTTGCTCTTTAACTCTCTGAGTGCCAGGAAAATCACAATTTTTGTCTTTGGATACGCTTTGAAAGGTATTCATTTCTGTATTATTTCTGTCCAATTCTTCTGTTATATTAACCCATTCTATTTTGATTATTAATATATTTCCTTCTGCCTAAAAGGTGTACTTTTCAATTCCATGAAAGAAAAAAAGTTGCTTTAAAGAAGTGGTTTTCAGCCTTTTGCAGGTGGCGCCCCCTTGAATATATGGCAAGACTCCCCACCCCCTTAACTTAGAAAAAAAATGTAATTAGAAAGAGGTGGACAAAAAGAAAACCCCAAGCACTGTTATTAAGAACTGTATTATCCTAATAATTAGCGGTAGAGGTACAAACAACTGCTCTGCTCATGAAAAAAAAAACATCCTTGGCTTTCCTGTTTCTTAATTAGTTTTTAGAAAATGTTTTATTTATAAATAAACTGAAAATTATTTTAGCATAATAAATAATTTTAAATGCAAATAAAATGTCACAATTGCTTGACGCGCCCCTTGAAACCTTCTTGCACCCCTTCTCCTGGGGAGTTCACCTCCAGGTTGAAAACCACTGTTCTAAAGTATACAAACTTTATGACACAGTAATCAAAGTAACAATACCTGAGACTGAAAGAGTAAAAAATAGGATCATTCTCTGGAGATATTTAAAGACCATGAGAGAGAACGGGAGTTGGTCATCCGACTTGTTTAAGCCCTTGTCTAATACAAATGAATGCCTAATGTTTCACTATCGTTGAGCCAAGGACTTTGAAAAGATTAGTCAGAAATTATTCATAAGCTGGTTAAAAGTTAGAAGGTTAGAAGAACAACATAGGGTAAGTTTAGAGTACTAAAGAAATCTTGAAAGAAATAGCTCATGAAAACTGGTTACTTCTGACAGATGTTGCAGTCCATATTTCTTGGATATATCATGAGATGCGGTAATCTGGGTAACTAAAACATATGTAGATAATCCATATTAATTTTGACTTGTATTAAGATGCATTAAACTGGGTAATTGAAACATAAATAGATAATTCATATTCCTTTGACTAGTCTTAAGATGGGTCAAACTTGTTACCTGAAAAATAAGTAGATAATCCTTATTCTTTTGACTGTCTTAAGATAGGTAAACTGTTTAACTGAAACATAAATAGATAATCCATATTTGTTTTTCACTTGCCATAAGATGCGTTTAACTGGTTCATTGAAACATAAATAGATAATCCGTATTCTTTTGACTTTCTTAGGATGGGGTAAACTGGTTGTTTAAAATGTCAGTAGATAATCCATATTCTTTTGACTTTCTTAGGATGGGGTAAACTAGTTGTTTAAAATGTCAGTAGATAATCCATACTCCTTGGAAAGGAAGTTTACTGGACAATAAAGACAAATGAAAGTTTCAAAGTGAGAGGAAACACTGGGAAAATCTATATAGAAAATCTTACAGAGTTTGCCATTCTGTCATAGAGAGACATCAAGGTTAAAGGTTAGAGGCAAGAGGATTGACTTTAAGTGGGTCAGTCTCTCTCCACAGAATGGATAGCCGCCTGCCAAGAGCACCTCACAAAGCATGAACTCCGTAGCTCCAGCAACAATCCCCAAGGATCTCCGTAAGAACTGATCTTGTTAGCGCAGTCTTGAAACAAAACCCACAACCTTCAGAGCATGATGCAAACAATTTGACCGTTTCGCCAGGGAGACCGCCATAGAGAGACATCTGTTTTAAAAATGATTTGTTGAAGCATGATGGAAGACTACTGACTGATGACCAATGGCCTGTGGAACTGACAGTTTGGCTGCCTAAGGAATTGGTCAGTATTAGTATGGGAAATGACACTAAAAATCAGTGGCCTTCAAACTCTGCTGCATTTAACAGTTTATTTCAGCTGTTTCGGAAACTGTGTTCTGCTGACCACTTGAATGTCATGCATCAATGTTTCCCAAACTGTGTTCAGCTGACCACTTTAATGTCATGCATCAGTGTTTCCCAAACTGTGTTCAGCTGACCACTTTAATGTCATGCATCAGTGTTTCTGAAACTGTGTTCAGCTGACCACTTTAATGTCATACATCAGTGTTTCCCAAACTTTTCTTGGTCACGGCACCTTTTTTCAATTATAATTTTTCCACTGCGCCCTAGCCTAAGTAAAAGTATGACTATTTGTGTCTTGGTTAAATTATGCAGCTTTTACAATATTTCACAGCGACCTTGTGAAGAGGTTGCTGCTCACCTGTGAAGAGGTCGCGGCTCCCCAGGGCGCTGCGGTGCACAGTTTGGGAATGACTGTCTTACATTATTTATGGCTTCAGTAGACAATTGGACATTGTGTGTTTGTTTTTCACTCTTTAAAATTATATGGATGTGAAGTTTACTTTTTCTCAAATTTGGAATATTCAGGACTAGAAAGTTTTTACAAATTACCAATTATTGCATCTTTTGTATTGTTAGTGTAAAATGAGTGAAGGAATCTGTGTATTTTGTGTCTGATGCAAGTGATCATTCTGTTTGGAAGTGGGTTGTGTCTGGCGTCTCTTATGGGTTATGATGTCCCCATTTTTATTGGGGAGGGGGGTAATAAACCCACTGCCCCCTTACCACCCACCCACACACAATAAGTGTGTTGTCAAAAGTCAATTAACTAGGATCTGAGGAAATTTGAGGCTGGAAGGCACCGATTTTGCAGCTGAACTGTAAACCATAACACAATGAGCTAATCACTATTTTTAAAGATCAGTGCAGATGAAGAAGCCGAGAAAGAACAAGAACAACAACTCTCTGTGACTAGCAAAATCTTGGCAACCTTTGAGGTTTGCCAGACCGGTTTAGATTTAGTCCATAGCTGAGATGGATTGGTTTCTTTTTACTGGCATATACTGGAGCTCACTTAGTTTGTGTAAAGAGGATACCTGAGATGTTTCTGAGGAAAAAAAACAAGGATTGTGAGGAAGGCAGCTAGTCACTCTAACCCATAATGATGTAAGTTAGTGTATGTAAAGTACTTTTTTTTTCTTCTCTTTCCTCCACATCAATTTTTTTCCCCAATGAATTGTGATGCTTCTGGTGATACACTGCCTTTTTTTTCTAAGAAAATAATGGTGCCTATACTCACCTCAAAGTATCTATTACAGGAGCACTGGAAAAAAAAACGATGCCTAAAAGGGTGCCGGTACTGTGTGAAAAAAAAAAATACCTGGTTGTATAGAGCAGCATAGGTGGTGTTAACCAATATTTGTTTGATTGTGTGCATGTGTGTTTGATTAACATTAAAGTTTGAGAGATAGCAGCAGTGTGTTTTGTAACATTTGTTATATTCAGTTAGTTAATCAACCAGTTATCATCTTCGCATGTTTGTCTCATCCAAAAGTGCTCAGCTCCCATCCTCACACTGTCTCTCAGCGTGCTGCCACTGAAAACACCTTCTGTGGTTGGTTAAGATTCTTCTTTGGCTGTTTGTGTCATGTTAATGTCTGGCAACACTTCCCTTGACGTGAAGGGTTCCCGACAGTCTCCTAAATCATCTGCTTCTTACCTCTTTGAAAGTATTCAGAACATCAGCTTGGTCTTTTTCTGTGCCTACCATGGCTCTGTCAGCAACCCAATCCACTCATTCATTCCCTTGAACTTAACTTAGTGTCCTGGCACACAAGTGAAACTGATTCCTTTCACCAAAGATTTTCTCAGAGACCCCAATTAAATGCAATGTTTAAATAATGAGCCCCAGAAGGCTAACATTGTAAACAAATGCCAAATTAAGTCAGATGTGGTGGTCGAAAGGAGCAAATACCGCAGCTATGCTGTAAACATACACAACACAGTTACATCACTTGGACGAATGTAAAGAAGAATATTGTAATGAACTGAACATCCAAGTAAAAAGGGACAGATTTATAAGCAGTGAACTGGAATATCTATCAATGACAAGTAACAATCTTATGAACGATGCTTTGTAACAGCAGTGTCCAATGCAACAAACCCCGGTTTGCTAGCCAACCAGAAGGTCATGAAAGGAAGTCCTTGCTAAAAGTAAAGGACCTTTTTTTCCACACCTTCTGGTGTACTTGGACATACAGGACTAGATTGATATTTTATGTACCAATCGGTACTTGGCAGGTGATGTGGTTTGCATCACACCGACTGCCTCTACTTCCTAGGACTGTACCAGGTACCCATTCAACCCTGAGTCGACCTAAGAGCCAAGGTCATTTTTTTGTGTGGTAAGTCTTGCTCCGCCAGTACCCGAACCCACGACATTCCAGTCCACAGGTGAGCATCTAGCGGCTACACCACGTCAACTCGCAGGTAGCCTATCGTAGTCTATTTTAAAATACATTTTTATTCCACAAATCACTGGCGGCCTATTTTATAGACTATAAAGAAAACCGATGGTGATTTCTGCTAATCCCTGCCTCGTATAGACTTTAGGTTACTTTGTAAACCGTCTGGCACCCCGATAAAATTGTATGGCTTGTCAGGGCTTACTGGGATTTGTACCTGTAGGATTTTCATTTTGCAAAAGCCTGTACACACGTAGTAAATGCTGCATAAGATCGAAGGCAGGGTTGTCAAGAACTTTTATAG